GATAACCAGATAATCAGTGTTCACTTCACCTGTCAGTGCCCACAATCTTATGGCTGATCGGTGTATATGCCACTCGTCAGTCATTAAATACCACAGGAAGAAGAACATGTGTAAGACCGCAAGTAAATCACCTGTACATCACCTGTAAAGCTTTTGTGCACAATGCTCCATCGTCAGCTCTCTGCTTGGTCTGTGTCTCTGTTGCTGTGTGTGTGTGTGTGTGTGTGTGTGTGTGTGTGTGACCAGGAGCTAAGCCCTGCTAGCAGTGAAACACCTGGTCACTGCAAGTGCAACAAAAGCCCCGCAAACAAAAAGCAAATAAAAGCAATTAATGTAATCCGTGCAAAAGATGTGCAGACGAAGAAAACAAACATTCAGCAGAATCCAGTTCATTCAGGTAACTCAGGTAAAGGCTGCAATGAACAAACTCTGCAGGACATTTTAAAAGGGAGAGAGAAATTCCCTCCAGACAGCGACAAGACCAGATTGACAAGATCAAAAAAGATTACAGAGAGAGTTTTTTTTGTTTGTTTTTTTAATATATTATGTATGAAAAAACATTAAGGAACAGCAAGGTAGCAGGACATTTTTTTCTAAATGCAATGAAGAGCTATTCACCTGTATTATTAAGTAAAGTACAAGTATTGGATCAGGAGTATCAGCAGATATTCAATATTACATGGGGATTGGGGGCAAAAATCAAAACAAAACTGGGACATACCGTGGTATGGAGTGGGTATTGAGCATCGGGGAATTTCACTGGTATTGGTATCGACTACTAAAATGTCTGGTATCATGACATCCCTACTGGACACAAAACAAAACCACTCTTTCTACAGTCTTTCCAGTAATCACCAATGCTGGTTTGGTTGTAATAAACTGAGTTAGATGTGACAATATTTGCAAAACAGTCAAATTACGTCCACTAAAAGTGCTTGTCTTTGCCACTGACAGGCTCAGACTGTTATATGTGTCTGACAACATTATGGGAAGGATCCGTACAGAGATAGAGCGTTTGTTTAACCAGAAACAGCCCTAATATCACTGTTACTCTCCACCAGACTCCATAGACAAAAACAGTAATTTAACCTTGCACATCACTGTAACATTGTAACTTCATTCAGAGTGGACAGAGACATAAAAACTCACAAAAAACATCTTGTTAGTCTTTACACTGTTCCAACAATCACAATCTCTGCTTTGATCAAAATAAATCCTTAATTAACTGACATGGATGAGAAAGACAGCAGCGTCAGTCACTCTGTTTAAAGAACAGTTGCACACGCAGAGACTCACATGCACTAAAATGCACGCGCCACTGGACCGGAGAAGTAAACAATGGTCAAAAACAAGGGGTGGGACTGTGACGTCATTCTCTGCTCAGGACACCTTCACTCCACTATATATTTACATAGCAAATAGTTGTTTGTTTTGATGCTATAGATATCATGTATATGTGTGTGTGTGTGTGTGTGTGTGTGTGCGTATGCGTGTGCGTGTGTGTTGTTTGTGCTGTTTTACATTAGTTTTACATGAAGATCATTTCTGAAAGACAGGGTTGCTGATGTGAATATAAGTAGTGGAGCAGCCCAAGGGTGAGTTAGCTAGGGTCAGGGCCGGTCTATTTTTAGAATAATGATCATCTGCACTGTAGATATATGATCTGGAAGAGATAATGGCAATTTATTCCATTGTTACACACATATTTAATGGGCTGTAATTGACAAAATGTGTTTCAGTGTTTCATTTAGATGGGATTAAATAGGGTTGACCAGGCTGATTAATAGATAGATGCATAGCTCTTGTTTTAACAACTCACCCGCTGCAGAGTGACTGTGTACTGCTCCCAGACCATCTCTTCCATCCCTGAGCTCTGTAGGAACACAGACACAACACGGTAAGCAAACACTGGAATGAATGGCAGAATGAATTCAGGAGGCCTTTGTGAACAAAGTAAATAATGAGTCCCTAAAAAAATAAAGAGATGTTGTAAAGAATCATCCAATAATCTATAACCGTTTTACAGTGCTTTTACAGACTCATAGTTGACTTATATCCATATCCAGAGATTCTACTTTATACACTGGTATCGACCCTTTAATAACTCTGGACATATTAGACACATCACCCACCCTGATACACAGTGTTTGACTTCTCTCAGTGAACCTGCCTCGTACATTGTCTCTGGGGAAATTTCATTATCATGTGTAATTGTTGTTTGTGTGTACTGATGAAAAAGGGCTATGCTTTATGCTACACATTACACAAATCTGTGTGCAGTAGAAACGTATAAAACAATGGGGACTGAGGACATACTAAGTGGAAAGGAGACTAACCCAGATTAACACACACACACACACACAACCAACAGGGGAAAGGGCTGTGTGTGGGTGTGGGAACTGACCTCTGTGAAAGAACAGTCGGTATCAAGTCAATAACAGCCTGCATGTTGTCCTGTCTGTCTCTCTGCCTGACTGGTGTATAATTTTAATTGGACAACTATTCCAGCAGATATCTGTTCTCATCCCTTTCCACCTCATTGCTCTCCCTCCATCTCTCTCCCTCTCTCTCTCTCTCTCTCACACACACACACTACGTGATGTGTGTGCTGAGCCCTGATGACACTGATCGAAGCAGGCAGCTCTGCTCAACTTCAGCTGCTTCTAACAAGAGCCGTGAATGAGAGACAATGGAATAGGACAGAAGGGCCAGTGGGGGACCATGTCGTTGTCCCTGCATTGTGTAATACATTGTATGCTACTCGAATTGTTGTTAAGCCTGTAAATGTGTGGTTTGGAGTCAGAGTGCAGGCGCTACTTGACACTGTTTTCCAAAAGCCTCACACCTACATGTGGTGTGCATAAAATGATATACGTTATATACGTTTGTATGCTGGCAGGAAACCAGTGTTGGAATATAATAAGCAGGTCATGAAAACAGAATATACAGTAAGTATAGCAGTTTCTGTGTGTACACTGTCAGCACTGAGTTTATTAGAGGTAAAACATTTCAGCCATGGGCCTTATTCAAGTTGCCTGAAGAGAAACATGTCTCTAATTAACTAGTGCTGACTCTGAGCTGGAATTCAGCTTTTTCTTACACTGAAATGCTTTCAACTCAATTCTTTTTTTTTTTCATGGCAGCTATATCTGTTGCAGTCCCAGACAAGTTAAAGCCAGCTTTATGGTTTGCCTCAAAGGACCAGTGTGTACAGATGCACCGATATATCACTAGCAACTGATATTTGCCTTGTTGACTGACATGGGCTTTTCAGTAAATAAGATGGTATTCACCAGTGTCAGTGGCTGATGTTTGTTGTGCTGCATTCATTATGCACTGCCCAAATTCTGTGTTGGTTATTTCCAAATCAGATGCTGGAGAAATAATCATCTCCGTATTCCAGCATAGACACAAATTGCATGCAATACCGATGTTGTGCTTGCAGCAGCACGGACAGTGAGCAGTAGTTCAGCTCTGTGTCTCACATCTTGGATGAGAAGAAAAACAGAGTGAGCTGCAAGTAGTAGACAGGAGGATTTAGTAGAAGACGACCCACACAGATGTAAACATTAACTGAGCTTTGCTACAGTACAGTTAAAGAACAATTATCGGATGAATGGACTGAACTGTCTGGAGCCACCAGAAGGTCAGGTGTGATTTCAGATCGATATATTCTTTATTGTCCTTTCCAGGAATTTGCCACAGTCTGTACATAGCCTTGCATAAATACATACACAACATAATCACAAGGGATACATCCAAACAGCACATTTATACATGCATCCCAATGACATAATATAATTCCATTATAATGGCTACCGAGGTGTTTTGTTGAATAATGCTATGGCAGAACAGAACTGCTGCCATAGTGAGCCCGTTTCCATTCCAGGCATTCCCGGATGGGAGCAGTGTGAAAAATGGGTTGAGGCGGTGCCTGGTGTCGTGTGCAATGATGTGCGCTCTGCGTGTGATGGCTTAGGCGCAAGGTCGGGTGAGGTAAGTTCATAAACCGAAAAAACCAACAGGATATGCTTGGATGCGCTGTGTTTGTCTGCCCTTTTCTGCAGTCGTCATTATTTTCAGGTAAGACAAACCTAACGAACCCATCTAAATGTCAGTAATTGTAATTGTGTTATTTAATTTGAAAATGTAATTAGTTAATTAAAGTTTAATTAATTATTAAAGTATCTCTGATTCTGATTACAAGTTTCCACCAAAAGTAGTGAAATTACAGTAATGTGCTCCTATAATGCATTATTCCCAGTACTGGCTGCAACAAGGCAAAGATCTTACCTTTATATTTATATATTACTTATTGTCTTATCTCATCATAGATTTATTTGTTTCCCAGTGCAAAAGGGCAAATCAATAACAACAAAAAACATTGGTATCAGCACTTGGACAAATTGTTATTTTAAACA